CCTCATCGGGGAACACGGACCCGTGGCCGCGTTAAGCTCGCTACGTATGGCCGATCAGGCGTCCGCGGTGCTCCATGCTGGCCAGCTCGCCGGCTACTATATTCAGCTGCTCTATTCGGCAATACGGCGCTCTGGCAAGCACAGGCGCAGGCACCGCGTGAAGCCTAGGGCTGCGGCGGCGCTGCGACGAGCCGGGGCTGGCAGCCGAGGGGCGAGGCTCGGCCCCATGAGGGCAACGGCAGCTGCCGGCAGGCGAGGGCTGAGCAGGCTTGGTGCCGCCGCGCCGACGCCGGCGAGTGCGAGATGCGAGCGGGAGGCAGGAGCGGCGGCGCGTGATGCAAGCGGGAAGAGGAAGAAGAGCCACGAGCAGTGCGTGACGGCGTGAGCGACCGAGGCACCGAGAGATTCTATGGTTTGCCCTAATCTGCTCGTTACTGGGCTGTTTGTTGTTGGGCCAAAATTGAAGACCTGTTCCAAAAAAAACAATTTGGGCCGCAACTAGGGCCGTGGCCCTACTGGCCCTAGGCCTGGTCCCGACCCTGCCGGTGAGGACGAGCGCGAGCGCGGGCCAAAACGAGGTGCAGCTAGAGCGCAACGACGACGCGGAGCTCAGGTGCTCAGACCGCGATGACGACGCATAGTGTGGAACAAACGATTGCAGCGAAGCTAGGTCGGCCACGGGCCACAGGCTGCGAGGGCGATGCGCGAAGCTTGGCCGCAGCCGCAGGACATAGCCGCGAGGACGAGGTGGAGCTCGAGTGCACCATGCTTTCTCAGGCTGTTTACGTCTGTGTTGTCTAGGTCTATCATTGTTTTCTATTTTGTTTTCATTCAAACAAGAGGTACTCTTATGTCTTAGCTTTTTATTAAAAATAAGTATTTGGTCTCAAGTTAATGAGCATGGCCTGCGGAGTTCAATTTATAAGATGAATTAAAATACACGACGCAACGTTGGATAAATCTACAGTCTTTTCATGTTGGTACGAGTTAGAGCAAAACACAGTCAATTAATTTGAAGGCGAATTGAAACACATGATACTTTAGCTTTCCATGTTCGTACGAGTTAGAGTAAAACATAGTTGATTTGAAGGCGAATCAAAACACACGACACTTTAGTTAAATAAATTTCGAGCCAAAACTCATATAAGTGACATTGCAATAAATCATGTGTCTCGTTGCAACCCACGGGTATTTTTGCTAGTAAATGATAAGCACACGTAGGCCTGCTTGGTTGAGTGCCAAAATTTATCATGCTAAAGATTTGGTAAACCAAAAGTTGGACAAAAAATTTGCCATAGATTTGGCAAGCCAAATGTGAGAGTTCGGTAAATTTTGGTAGCAAACCAAATGCTAGCCAAAATCATGGCTTTTCTAAATCTTTGGCATAGCAAATTTTGAAAGCGAACTAATCAAGCCCGTAGATCAAAGACTCTCAACACGAGCTAAAGAAAATAATAAATGTGGTCTTTTGTTGGGTCCTTTTCCGATAATTCTAGGAAGCCGGTGTCCGTCGGCCAAACGACCACCTCTTATCTGCTAGTCCAATCCCCTCGCGACCGTTTAAAAAAAACTCACCTCATCGTAGCGTTGCGGCAGTGCTCTGCGACCGTGCTCCGCCGCACCGCCATGCTCTCCACCGCGCCTCCTCTCTATCGCGCCTCAGCTCCACCGGCCGGCATCCCCACCACGCCCAAGCGCGGTAGCCGGCCTTCCTCCCTCTCCACTGCGCCTCTAGCTCGTCACGACCTTCTCCAGCGTGCGGACCCGCCGTGGCTTTCTCCACCAGACCTGCCACGGTCTTCTCCACCGGAGCGGCAAGCTCTACACCGATGAACTCCACACGCCGACGAGCCAAGCGGCAAGGAGATATTGCACTTAAAGAGCATGTTGCAAGTTCATGTTTCAAGTGTTAAATGTTTCATAGGTATGTTGCAAGTGTATTCATATGGATGTTGCAAAAGTAGATCGGGATGCTGCGTATGTTGTAATGGTTGTACACGTATGTTGCATAATTCTGTTCCCAATGTTTCATCTGTGACATGTTTCAAATGTGTTTATAATGTTGCATATGTTGCAATGGCTGTACACATATGTTGCAATATTTTATTCCCGATGTTTCATCTGTTTTTCAGCCGTATGTTTCAAGTGTGTTTATTTGGATGTTGCATATGTTACAATGATTGTACACATATGTTACAAGATTATGTTCCCAATGTTTCATATGTTTTTTCAGACGTATGTTTCAAGTGTGTTTATAAATGTTGCATATGTTGTAATGGTTATACACATATGTTGCAAGATTCTGTTCCCAACGTTTCATCTGTTTTTTTAGATGTATGGTTCAAGTGTGTTTATTTGGATGTTGCGTATGTTGTAATGGTTGTACATATACGTTGTAAGGTTCTGTTCATAATGTTTCATCTGCTTTTTCAGTCATATATTTTAAGTGTGTTTATTTGGATGTTGCATATGTTTCACATATATGTTGCAAGTGTTTTTGTCTAGATGTTGCATATGTTTTACAATGGTTTCAAGTGCTTTTTCAGGTGTTTTTGCAAATGTTTTAGAGCATGTTTCATCTATCTTCAGATGTATGTTGCAAGCGTTGCATTTGGATGTTTCAAAAGTAGATCCAATGTTGCATCTCCCTCCTCGCCTTCTGCTGTCTCGCCTCGGTGTCTTCTCCTCCTCCCGGAACCGGCTGGGCATCCGAGCCAGAGGCGCAAGCGAATGCTACTCCCTCCCCCTCTTCTCGATGCTAGTGACGTTCGGGGCGATGCGGGCCCCACGTGAGGCACGCGAAATGGGAATGTGCATGCATGGGTGTCCGTCCGGGTGACTGGATCTTTTTCTATCTTTTGTTAGATATAAAATGCAAACTAGAAATTCTATTACATCACGCGCTGCGTCAGGGGTTTCTTCCTTTTATCGGAAGAAGCACTTATTATCCCTGAAAGGCACTCTTTGTGGTCTGCAGAGCTGTTAAATTGTGTCATGTGGAGATCACGTCGTGCAAACGTGGGGATACGACTAACATTGCAATAGCCAAGCGGGAGCAAGGGCACCACCAAATAGAGGCTAACACTCTTAGTAGTTCTAGCACATATAGAGTGATCCACATAAATTAGGAAATGTTGAGACTATTATTCACACAATGCAAACTATTACTGCTTGTGGTTTGCACATAAACTTTTTTCTTTTATCATGCATCACCTTTATTTCCTCTCCCTCTTCTTTTTTAGCATGGACCATATTCTCTCTCCCAAGCATATATAACTTCTGTAAGCCACTATGACAACTATAGAGCACCTACTTTTTTTATTCGATCCTACATGGCCTTTGGGGCTATAAGTACAAATTCAGTGTTAGAGAAGGCCTTAGGAAATGGCTCAAAGGCTCGGTCCACTTTTCACCTTTTCCACACGCGGGAGCATTAGGCCGTCCCAACGCTACACGGTGGCTATATGCCCTAGCTTCCACGTTCGCATGCATGGTACACGTTTGTTCGGATATGCCTACAGAAGCTGCAACCACTGGCAGAGCTACACGTAGGCTAAAGTGGGCTGTGGCCCCCCTTGATTCACAAACTTTTGCAGTGATACAGTGATTTATCGATTAATGGTTCATATAAAACTTGACTCTGCAGGTCCAAAAGTTGCAAGTCTGCTTGTCTCCTGACTCCTAGCCTTCCGATTAAGGAACTACAGCAACATCCAATCGTCCATCATAGCAGGCAATCGTTGGTTCACCGTTGCTCCACCTCCCTATGGCCTTCCGAATTATATAATTTCTGTACACGTTGATTCATATTAGCAAAATGGCCCCCCTATATTTTGCTGCGAGCTCCGCCACTGGCTGTAGCTGCTTGGTCTGACAAAAGAGATAAGCTACCACTAGAGAGCGCATTGCCAAAAGTTGAAGGTCTGCTGCACCTTTTATCAGGGCCGAGAGTCTATGAAAGAAGAAACACTCATGCTAGCATTTAATAGGCAGTAACAGCCTGCGTTGTAAACTTGAAATCTCTGAACTGTTTATATCTATATGTTGCCCTGTTCGTTTGGCTGATAATCCATGGCTGAAAGTACTGTTGACTGATTTGGTGTGAGAGAAAAATACTGTTCGTTGGCTGAAAAAGTATGACTTATAAGTCAAGCGAATAGAGCAATGGCAGACAACTTTAACCTCAAACCACTACTCATGTTGGTCAGCGTTGGCCCTGCCCTTATTAGGGAATGGCTCAAAGGCTGAGTCCACTTTTCACTTTTTCCTCACGATGTCACGATGGGATTCGATTGCATGAAAGTACTTTTTCCATATCATTGGTGGGTAACTCTGTCATCTCTTGCCAACACGGAGCCTCGATTTTGCAATGTGCCTTCGAATGGTGCAATGTTGAGAACGAAAAAAAACATGTGCCCCACCTCAGTCCTCAGTGTTCTCAGCAGCACTATGATTTACGTGAAAATCCTTTGCGTAGAAAAAAAAGAAGCAGAAACAAGCAAACAATCCACTAAAAAAATGGAGATGCAAAATGTGGGAAACAACAAGACTAGGATGCTCTAAATTCCCACAATTTTACTCTTCAATGGAAGAATTTGATATATCATAGCATCGTCCCTTCCTATATCTCTAACCCTAGATCTCTATCAAGCATGAACAAAAGGGAAGACAGAGGCCTCGGTTTGGTTTTTGAGCCAGTTTAGTAGATTTGGAAAGTACTCCCTCAAAGTGACGTCATATTTACAAATAATTCCTACTTCAACCTAGGAAGTGTGTGCCTAGGCACCCTTTCGCGCTATGTTAGTCAAAATTAAGCATAAAACTGAAATTAGGAGTTGCACATTACCATACCAAAGGATCGGATCCTTTTTACCCACAGGAAAATCCAGGCCCTAGGCAGCAAAATGCTGGACACACAACCAGTTGTCTCTTGTCATTGTCTATACTCTTCTTTCTATCTACCTATACTGAACCCTCGTCGCTTCTCTCAACACAATCTATCAAAGCTTCGATGCGAATTTGAGCTTTGAGCTTGCCTCAGAACCACCCTGTTTTGCTGCTGCAGTAGCGGCCTTGCTTTGCATTTGTGCCTTCACTTCGAAGAGGAACATGTGGGCTTCGTCAAAGTGAGGACTTGTGGTTTTCCTCACATTGTCGATCCAAGTGAGGATCCTCTCATGACCTCCCAGAAATTTGTTCCGCATATCATCACCAAGAGCCTACAAGCCATGTGTTAACACAATAACATAACACTGCAGATAAACATAATCTCACAAACTCGAGTCTAATGAGAAAACAGCATTCTAGTGCAACTCTACCACAATTGAAGGCAAATACCACAGTGAATTATGGCCTTCCTCTTGCTACCAAGTAGAGGATAATTAAACACAAAAAACAAACATGGAAAGCACAAATTCGATCAGGGGCATGAGCTGTGACCAAAGCTATATCTAGCTCTCAGGCTTCGGACCATACAAAATATATATTAGGTAAAGGTATGGAAATGTCACCAACCTAAGGAAGACTCTTGCCGTCAAAAAAAAAAAAAACCCTAAGGAACACTCTATTCAAGAAGTAGTTTTTTTTTCAATGAATTGCAATTAGTCATTATCCTAGGAGCACTGTTTGAACACTGGTTTAGCTCTTAACCTTCTTAATTAAAAATTATCGCACTGTCATTCGCTACTAATAAACAGCATTGAAGTCTGCATTTTGATCTTAATAAAAAGATAGAACAAATACAGCAGGCCTAGTGTTATGCCCATGCTGCAATGGCACCAAACTTTAACTACTGACAAGGAAAACATACACAATGGATTTAAATAAGGAACGTACACACCTCCAATTGCATTATCTCACAAACAAGGCTTAGATCTGCGATTGATGGCTGGGGACTACCCAGTAAAAACTTGGCGTCACCTTTCAGCCATACGGATTCAATCCTTGCCAGGGATTGCATCAGCACTTTTTCTGCATGTTTTGTAGCATCTGGACGTGGCCTAAGGCCAAGAAAAGGTGCCAATGCAGTGTAGTATACAAAGGTTCCTGCACAGGCATAAACAATCAATATATGATAAAGGGGGTATTTTTTTGAGACACAAAACTACATTACTAGGTGGATGAAAAAAGTATGATCCAGCACAGTTTTGGAGGATCGCCTATTTCCATTGAAAGATAATTGATGTCTGACTACACTGCACAATCTCAAGTGAATACAAAAAAGGTGTTGGGTTAAAACAAACCAGATGATCAGTGGAGCCTTCAACACTAAATCCAAACATAACCTATTTGTTCAGTTTGAGGAGTAGAATGGATTATTCCATCACTACGACATGCACCATAAGCTCAAGGCTGGAACACAAATAAGTACTGGTGCCATCCCGCCAAATTCACAGGATTATAAGATGGATAGGATGCAAACCAAATACCGAAATAATTTATGGTAAATGATAACTCCACAATAGCCTAGAGGTACCTTCCATGAGTAACTTTGGTTCTCACCTGCACCAAGACGCAAATTTGAGTGATGTCAATCCAAGATTGATTCAATTTTGGCTCTGGTAAACAAGTCAGCTGGATACCTGTATCATACAAAATGTCAAAAACAGTGGCTCCAAGATTACCAAGGAAGATATATGACTCGCAACAATCATCAAAATAGAACACACATTATCCTGTTCAAGTAAGGCTACTTATTAATTTTCTGATATAGACCCATTCTGCATTAAGAAATCTGCTTACTTTGAGCACTTGTTATAGAAAAATTAATCAATTCAAGCAATTCAGCTCTAGCAACTAAGCAACATGATCCTGCCTTATGAATCATGATCCAGCTTCAATATAACTACTTCAACAAATCAATCATTGCCGGAAAGTTGACTAGGTTTCTGGAAAAGTTTGGTATAGCTTCTGCCAGCCTTGCTACTTAAATGGTAAAACAAAACATCTTCATAGTGGCTAAAAAACTCAAATTCTCTGTACAAACTCATCAGCTCTGAAGTTACTGAAATAATTCAATTTTCATGAAGAGACAGATCTCCTCTTTGACATACTAATACAAAACAAAACTGAAAAAAATGAGTTTATAACTTGATTAGACTACATCAAACTCATTACTTTGAATCTTACAGGGAAATATTTTATATGCTGCACAAAGCAAATCATTTATAAATGTCATCAGCTTACAAGTTACAGAAGCACACAACAATTCAATGTAATACAGTTTGCAAAAGGTAGTCCAGAAGAAACAGCAACTTTAAAGAAAAATAAATTGGGAATCATTTCTGTTATGTAATGTACCAGTGATCTGCAACTCCGGGGAAGACCGACGCAAGATACCTCAAAATGGCATGGCTGTCAAAAAATGTCAAGTTTCATCACAGTAAGTCAATTATCCATTGTGAAGATATTTGAGGCGAGGAGATGAGAGTTGGATCAGTGCTCTGCAAAACAAGGGCAGAGGCACCTAATCGTTGGCAACTCAAATTACAGGCTGCTGCAGATAGCATTAGGCTGCTATGTCCAATCTCCTTACAATTTCTTTAAACCAAATCTCCGGATCTATGCAACATGCAGTAGAAGCCTTGGAAAACTATACTAGAGATACTACACATATTTAATATCAGTAGTATTATTAGCAAAGTTGAAGCATGTAAAGGATGATACACATAATGAAACAGATAATTCTAAAGGGTGGTCCTAGTTACATGGACTGTGATTAAACAAACTTGTAGCAAGGTCTATAACATTCGCTTGGGCAGATGCCTCCTAGCCCTTTTTGTGCTTGTCAGAATTAAAATAACATTGGTTTGTAAATTACATATGTCGAAGGCAAAAGGAAAAAAGTGAACAAACATATTTTTAAATAGCAATGAAGCCAACTGTACTGAATCTATGTTTATAGATGAGGTTTCAACAAAGTTAGGGACAATCAGCAGGCAACTCATAAATCAGGGGAATTCACCCATACTAGTTTTGATAGGGCGCACCTTTCAAAAAGTTTAAACCTTCCATCGACTATTGCTGGAACTTGTCCCATTGGGTTTATCTCTGAAGAGAGGAGCAGCAATCAGAGGAAATCAAGCAGCTCGGCAAATACTAGCCAGATGAGTTTCATGGATTTTCCACCACTAGTAGTGAAAGAACATATGTACATACTATTGATTAGCATAGTACACATAATAATTAACACTCAATTTGAGACACAGTTTAAACAATTGCAGCAATATTGGCCAGAAAGAGGACGGAAATCAGGATTCGGATGAGCATGAGGACGGTGACTAATGAGGGGAAAAGGGGGTACTTTTGAATTCAGGGGTGAGGCTCTGAGACTTGAACAGATCCACCGTGACCTCCTCGAAATCGATCTTGTTCACCCTGCACGCGGCGGCGGACATCAAGATTCAAGAATCGAGCGACCGGACTGCTTGAAGAACCGAACGGAGCAGAGTGCAGACCTACCTGCAGAAGATGATGACAGCGCGGCAGGGTTGGGACCACCTGTGGGCGTATACCTTGATTGGCGACATGGCGGGGCTTCGCGAGGAAATCTGGAAGCTTCTCGGCCCGGACTCGCTTCCGCTTCCGGGTGTCTGGCACAAAGCGCTTGGGGTTAGACCTCTGCAGCCGCTGCGCTCTGCTGTTCCGCTGTTGACGAAAACGAATCTTGCTTCTTGTCTCTGCTCCTCGCGTGGAGAAAACACGGAGGAAGAGATTGACTCACTGGACACGTGGCAACCATCTCCGTTGCCGCTGCGCTTGGGGTTGGAACTCTGCAGCCGCTGCGCTGCTAGCTTCACTACGTGGCAACCATCTCCATTTCAACGACTGACATTGACTCATGAAAGGAAAATGGTGTAATAATAATAAGAAAAGGTACTGACAAGGCAAACGTACACAAATAAACAAAGATCATGCTCGCTCCGTCAAAAAAAAAAAAGAATACTAGATTGCGTGCCAGTTAAAATATTCACGACCAAGTCTCTATGAATTGATATTCGCATTCATGACTTTAAATAAATTTATTATAAAAAATATATTTGTAATTAATCTAATAGTATTTATTTGATACCATAACTATTGATATTTTTATATATATATAGGCTCTCGTTCGTCATTTGAAAAAAAATAACTATAAGAGAGAAACATAATTATTCGATCATGATTCGTATCAGCGGAAGAGAAAAAACACTATTCCGGCTATAAGAGAAGCGAACAGGGCCATAATTGTCAAACTTAAGCCGGTAAAAACATTACATTATCCTAGAATTGTATTTTTTTTACGGAAAGAGGATATGACATTTAGGTACAAAGATCTATACCTTATGAGGTTTTTTTTCCTTTTTTTTCAAACTAGCAAATACTTTAGTGTATTAGATCAACTTCAACAGGTGACCTCAAATCAGGACCCTGGTCTTGCACTACCGGAAACAGTGGTTTTGCTATGTGCCACGGGCACTCGACAAAGCCCACAAAATACTCGGCAAAGGCTTTGCAGAATGTAATACTCGGCAAACAGCACACGCCATCTACAGTGTCGGCAAACATCTTTTTGCCGAGTGTTTTCTATCGGACACTCGGCAAATACTTTACCGAGAGCTGAAACCGACGATCGGCGAGAACAAGTAACGCGATGGCATGGAGATGGTCACGGCACGTTTGCCGAGTGTCCCGGACCTGACACTCGACAAACCCGCCTTCTTTGCCGAGTGTCAAATCCCGGGCACTCGGCAAACCTACCTTGTTTGCCGAGTGTCAAATACTGGACACTCGGCAAAGACTGGCCCAGAACATACAAATGTTGGCTTCTTTGCCAAGTGTCACAGCGCCATGTCTAGCTTTGGTCTATTGCATAACCTTGCTTGATCCACTCTAGCCTTAACATTATCCTTTGTCTTATCAGGAATGTCCATGATTGTACAAAAAATTGCCTCGACGACATTCTTTTTAGTGTGCATTACATCAATGTTATGTGAAAGTAGAATGTCATCAAAATAGGGAAGGTTCCACAAGCATGACTTATGAGTCCATGCATGTTGCTCACCATATCCCCAGAAAATGATCTCCTTGGTCTTTGACCTCGAGAGCGTCTAACTGAGCACGAACTGCGGCACCAATCATCATCTGGAGTGCAGGGCCTTCAACTACTACATCTTTCGTAAAGTTCTTGATGTCTCATCCTGAATGGATGGTCAAGAGGGAGGAATTGTCGATTTTGTTTGTCGAGCGAAGAATACTTGCCACCCTTCATCAACCAAATGAACATCAAGAGACGCCTTGCATCATCACGCAAGATTGGGCATGAGAACTTCTCGTGTGAACACACACCACAGAATATCCCATACGCGTCGGAAAGTCTTGCGAGGAGTACTGGTACCAAACATGCATTTTGAAGTTTGTCTTTGTAGCTCGGTCGTATGTCCATACCCCTTCCTCCCAAGATACAGACCAAATCATCAATCGGATGCTCCATGTACACACTCATATTATTATTTTAGGCCGGGTGTTAGAAATTATCAACGACAAGAATATGTTCCGTCGTTGAAAGAGGACGCCTGTGGGGGAGATTGAGAGGATAACGAACATGGGCCAACAAGTGTATGAAGGCGAGCTATCCGTCATTCCATAAGGATTGAACCCATCTGTTGCCGGTGCAACACGTACATTACGAGCCTCTAGAGCTTTCTCACAATGAATCATATCAGAGATTGAGAGGTGCGAAAACTTCTTGGCAAGTTGATCTAGCATGGTCGTCGAGACGTCTGGAGAAGCTTGAGGCGCCGGGATCTCCATGAGACAACTTTGGAGCTTGCAAAATAGTTGTCGTCGCGCTTTTAGATCCATGAGGAGCCGAAGATGAAGGTGATGCCCATGCTTTCAAGGAGAAGAAAATCATGTCATCATGGTCCGCCAAGCTCAATCACGAAGTCGCTTAAAATCTCCCCTGAGCCCATCCCCTACTCGCGCGCTATGTTGTAATCTTTATTAGTGTTTGATGACCGGCAACCCATGATGGATTTACTCGGGATGGTGTTCGAAGGGTTTGTTCTAATTTCGACTAGCCCAAGATTAGGGGTCCGCCTCACGTAAGATCAAACCAACAACAATGAGATTAAACGCATGAAAGAGATGAGCGATTTATCTTCGATTGGTTCGGTCCCTCTTATCGAGTAATATCCTTTACGTCCAGTCGACATGTAGCCTTTTGCGTTGGATTGATTGTATGATTGTTAGGGTTACAAGGGGGTGCAGCGTACCTCTCTTTATATTGGGGAGAGGGTATAGGCACGTATCTAGTCCTAGTAGATTATAAGAGAAGAGTCCTAGTCCTACTACAGAATCTAGCTTTCATAGTAAGCCGACTAAGTTGATATGAATAGCTTGAAGTCCACGCCACCTTGTCTCGCATCCTTCAATAGATCATGGGCCATCCTAGGGCCCATCCAAGTAGTACCCCCATGGGGAACCCCAGGGACCGGGTCGCCGACGGGGCCACTTATATGCCATTTCGTTCCAATCGTAGAACCACCTCCGAGTTAACCCTTTTACATAAAGCGAGGACGAAAGTATAAGAGAGGTGCTACATTATCCTTTGTCTTATTAGGAATGTCCATGATGCAAAAATTGAGCGATATTCTTTTTGTTCCACGTGAAAGTAGAAGGTCATCAAAATAAGGGAGGCTGGGCCATATAAAAAGATCTTTTGGATGCGGGGGTTACAAGAGCTATGTGACTTGTGCACTCCAAGCCTACTACGCCACCCTTCATCAACCAAATGAGGTTCTGCATTCAAGCACATGCATGATTTGGACTCGATCATGCTAGTGTGTTTGGTTCTGGCTTACTTCCTAGCCTGGCTAGAATCTAATCTGGATAGCCCAAGCCTCCCTCTAGCAAGCCATGGTGAACTTCTTTCATGCAAAGACGTCTAGAGCGCACTATCTAAGCCTGGCTAGCAACTAGTTTTGTTTGGTTGGTTGGTTTGGCTTGGATAGTCACCTCTTCTTTGCAGTAATAACTTCACCACCTTTGAGGCAATTCGTCAAACACGTGGCGCAAAGAGAGAGACACCTCGACAACACACCACCCATCTTTGGATTGATTGTATGATTATTGCATGCTCCCAAGATGCGCGTGAGAGCTCCACGACTCCTCCTCCCCTCTGTTCCACGACTCCTCCAGTCCCCCTCCATCGACCTTGAGCACTTGGGGAGTCCAAGTAGTACCCCGAGGATGCGGGCTGACTCGTCGGGAGGAGCCATGCTTGGAAGATGGCGGTGAGCTTGGCATCCATGGAGGCATGGAGCGGGCCAGCGAGCTCCACGCTTGTGCGCCGTCGTGGCGAGAGGGACGGAAGTTGAGCTGCGCCCATGCCAGGCGAGAGGCGTCCTGCCCTAGTCGTTGGCGGCGTCGTGTCCTCGGCCGTGTCGCAAAGGTGCCGAGCCATAGCTGCGTGTGGTTCTTGGGGAGGCGGTGCGCGTCACTTGGGGCAGGGGATCAGGATGCCAGCTCCATGCGAGGAGGAGCACCAGCGGAGGAGGAGACTCCTCCCGGGTGGAGCACTAGCGTGGAGGAGCACCGGTGGAGGAGGAGCAATGGCGTGTGGAGCACCAGTGGGAGGAGGAGCACCGGTGGGAAGGAGCACTTGTGTTGGAGGAGGAGCACCAGTGGAGGAGGAGGAGGGAGGAGGAGCACTTGCAGGACACGGGAGGAGGAGCACCGGCGGATCTCACCAAAGGGAGGTGAGGTGACTCAGTTCGAGGTTGGCCAGAGCCTGGCTCTAGAAAATCACTCAACTCCTGCGTTTTTCTGGAGCCAGGCTAGGACTCCTGGGTGGCTTGCTGGGGCTTGGCTTGGAGGCTTGTTCATCCCATCCAAACAGTCTCATGTTGGCTCCAGGAAGCCTAGTTAGGGGATAGCCAGAGAACCAAACAGGCCATGTGACTTGTGCAGGCCTACGCTCATCTGCAGCTTGCTGCATGCAAGCACCTGCATGCAGATTTGGACTCTGATCACTGCAACTCCTATGGATGCATCACCTATTACTAAGCTAACATGGAACTAACTTGAGTCAACATGTTACATTGACAGGAGACCAACGCCTAGTTGGTCCCTGAACTTGGGAGGCTGCATCGTTTAGCTGATCATTTTTCTTGTGCGGTGTTTTAAATCGTTTTTGTTGTCTAAAATTATAACACCGCAACTCTCTTACCATTTAAATAAAAAAATCGGTTCTGCAATATATTTGGATGTGTATACCATGATTAGGTAATTATGTATATATATATGGAGCATGCAGGCAGGACAGACTGGGGAAGTATATGCATGTCAGACGTTAGGTGATAAGACGAAGGAAAATCAGGGACTCCCTGCCTCCTACTTACATTGCTCGACGGCCAAACAACAATAATTGTGCCTAGCATCGTTCATCTGCTTGTATGTGGTACATAAAAAATCTTGCTAGGAGCACCAAATAAACCCAACCCAAGTGATGTGGGCCTGGAGGACGAGGTGAGGGCTCAGTGGGCAA